TAAAAACCGTGGCTCTAAATTGAATCGAATCACGTTTTGGTGGTTTGGTTTCAAAATTTTAATGATTTGGATTGGTTCTAAAATTCATAGAACTGTAAGTAATAGTTTGGTTTTAGTTTACGCTTAAACAGAAAATTTGTCTGAACCATGTTTAATCCTTTTTAAAATATTCTCTTTTATTGAGTTTAATAGTTAAAATATTATTTTTTTGCCAATTGGACTTGATAAAAATAAACAAATAATTTAAATTTAAAACAAAATTAAAATATTAAAATTTAAATTGATAAAACTAGAAAATCAAATCTATTTTTATTCTTTTCACACTTACCTTGGCCCCGCAAATATAATTTCTGGTTCTACAACTATCAACGGAGAAACAAAACGAGAGTTGAACTTCTTTCATACCTCAGAGCACCTATATCAGCCTTAATAAATTTTGACTCAAATTATAATTAAAAAGTTACTTTTTATTTATTTATTTTAGTTAGTATTTTTTGTATGTACACACTACATTAAATTCTCCATTCTAAAATTAGATTTTACAAAATATTCATTTTGTATTATTAAAAAACAGCCAAAGTGGTATAGAAGAAATTAATTTTATATTGTTTAAATATATATATATATTCCCAAAAATATAAAAATTGTGCCAAGCAGCGGTTGTTTGGCCGGACATCCAAAGTGTGTATATGATATATTACAAAGTTTCATATTCCTATAAAAAAAAATAAAAAATAAAAAAAAATTGCAACAGCCAGTCGACCAGTAGGATGTTTAGCCAAATAACCGGCAAGATATCCGGTCACTCTTAGGAATAAGTGATAAAATATTATATAACCTGTGAACAGTGTATCATTACATGCAACAATGTACTGTAGCAAAGTTAACCAACAGCTAGCTTAAAAATAATTTGTTGAGGCAGATGGAGTAAGAATTTTATGATTTGTTAACTACATTTACCTAAAATCTACATTTGTTGAGGCTGATGTGGATACTCTTACATCTTTATATCTCCTTTGTGGGCTCCAACTTGGACCCGAATCAATGATCCAAAATTGTCTTGCCTACCTCATAAATTTTGTTGTAAAGATTATTCATGCAAAAAATCAATTTTATCAGACAATTATAAATACAAGAACAAATCGTATTTTATATTAATTTTTTGCATGAATAATTTTTATTACAGGACTTATGAGAGAGATGGTTCAAATTATCAGAGAGGGCTCAAATTGGAACCAGGATTCTCTCCTTGAGGTTCCTACTTGACTTCCTACTTACTGGGTCATTGGGTCCACTTTTAGGCCCAATTTCGATAATCCAAACCGTTCACATTTTAAGATTTGTTGAGTATATCATACGTGTAAAAAATCAAGTTGATCGGATATCAGAAAGTATGTATTCGGAAAACTGTTTATTAAATTTTTTTTAAAAATAATTTTTAGTTCGATGATCTGAACACATGCTTTATGATATCCGATTAACTTGATTTTTTACAAGTATGATATACTCAACAAATCTTAAAATATGAACGATTCGAATTATCAAAATTGAACCTAAAAGTAGATCCAATGACCTAACAAGTAAGACATTAAGGAGGAACCTCAAGGACTCAAATTGAGTCACACAAAAAGAATATAAAAAGTTTAAAAAGATACAAAAATACAAAGCTATAGAGGGAGCTTATCCTTAAAAACAAAAGCAAAGAGCAGCTTCCTAGAAATTTCTTTTTCAGGAATTATAAGTAGTTTGGCATAGAGCGAAGAGCAAATTCCTAGAAGCTGTGCGGTTGAAACTAGTTTCAAGCCTGGAGTTTGCAAGGCCTAGCTTCTTGGCTTTTTTCTTGTTCTGTTTTTTTCTCGTACGTTTGATAATGTGCACTTCAATTATGACGTGTCCATGTTTCCATTAAAAACTTAGAAAAGTTGCATATTCTGCATGCAACGGCAGAGGTAGGAATTGCAGTATGAAACCTTTATAACAATGTTTGGTTTTTTGAGTTGGTTTTGAGTTTTCAAATAGAGTTTTTGAGTTCTTTTTTTTTTTCATGTTTTGTTATCTTTAGTGAGTATTTTATATATTTAAATTAAGTTTATATTTAATTTAAATGCATCTAACCAAGATGCATCTAATCTAATAATTAAAATATTTATGGATAAATTTTTTAAAAAAAATATTAAATACAAAAATATAATAAATTTTATATTATTTATTTAGTGAATTTTAAAAATTCACAATTTTTTTTAAGTACATATAAAAATTATAAAAAATTGATTAAAATATTTGAAAAATCACTAAAGACACAAAAATACAAAATATAAAAAAAAAAATTATTTAAAACCAAACAGAGTGATATTTAAATATGGTACCAAAATTCTAGTTATTTTATTCATAGTGACGAAGCATTGTATATAAGTTACACTACAACATACACTTTTGTAAGCATAAAATTTTTTAAAATATCAATACATCTGTAAATAAAATTTCAGTTAATATCAAGATAGACATGTATGAAAACAAAGACGAGAAAATAGGATAATATAAATATATTTTTTCACATTTTACAAAGTATGTCAATGGTTAGAGCTTAAGGAGTTATTTGAATCATAAGATTGTACTTCATGTCGAATAAAACAGTTAGTCCAACGTTCTGATAATAACGATGGGACTAATAATCTCTCATATGTGAAATAACTCAATCGTATAGGATTGTGGGATACAAATAAGCAAATTGAGCTAACCTCCGAATTAACTAATTAAATAACAAATTGACCCTCAAGTATATAGCATTTTTTTTAAACATGTATAAATTAATCTCACGATATATAATAGTCTTCTCTTTTTATTTTTTATATTAGCAAAATAATAAAAGAAAATATATTTCCAATATTCAAAAGGAAAACAATATATAATATATTTTTTGTTCGTTTTATAAAACTTTTTTTTTAAAATACGTTACTTTTTTTTTAATAATTTTACTCACCTTTTTTTTTTCTTTTTTTTTTAAAAAAATTTTCTACCTAAATTTATAATTCAAACACAATCTTACTGTACAATATGCAAATAAACAAGCATATTTAAGGAAACATAAGTGACATTAACTAAATCAAGCATAACAATTAATAAACAATAACTAATGCTCATTGCTAACAAAATAAGTCATTAGTAACAATAAATAATATTATGTAACAAACATATTTATTAGTTATAAAATTTCGATGAAATTATTTATTAAATTATTAAGATTTACAATAAAATTACATTAATCAAATTTTTATAAATTTATAGCTTCACCTAAGGGCATGGTTATGAGTTGCAGGCCCAAAAAAAAAAAAAAAAAGTTCGAAACTTCTAAAAAGTCTTATTTTTGACCTGCAATGTTTGACGCCCATCTTTTGTGTTTTCAATATAATATGATAAATCTTACTATTTTTTTCTATAAATATAATGAGTTATATACATAACTTTTATTAATATAAATAAAAAGTAAAATAAAAATATGAAATAAATGCAATAATAAATAGTCTTTGCGTTAAAACTAAAAGAAAAGGTAGATTTCATAAATCCATAACAGAAAAGCTTCTATCAATTCTATGCAATTTGCTTGTTTTGGATTAATTTCAAGTTAATCTGGACAATTAAAACTATTCATCTTACCAGGTCCGTTAAAAAAATTATTCAAAAAAAAATAAAATTTTAAATTAATTAAATATCAATAGTTACCAAACAAATTACAAAATCATTCCAAAAAAAATTTAAAAAAAAAGAAAAGAAAAAGGACAATCTACTCTACAAAATGAAACCATACTACCATAAATCAATGTAATAACGACAAAAGAAATAACAAATGTTACAGCAGTGCACGTCTACATAATTTTTTTATTTTTGTTTATTTATTTTTTACAATGTTCTTATTGAAATGGCACATTTTTTTTTTTTTTGTGAATAAAATGGCAAGATAAAATACGTATAAGGAGAGTTTTGAGAAAATATTTGAATATCGGTTAACTTTTGAAATTTTGTTTGTCACATCATTTGAGAGATTTGGAGAGGGAAAAATTGTGTGGATAAATCATTTTTCTAACGCTGTGTTTAGTTGGAGGATTTATGAAGGGATTTAGAAAGGGAGATAGAAAGGTGTGTGAAATTAAATGAAATATAAATATATTTTATTTACATTTCATCTAACTTTTTATTTTTCCTTCCCAAATCGTTTCACAAATCCCCTAACCAATAGATTTGGGGTGGTTGTTGTGCGGGGTGATGGGCCCATTTTGGAGCCCATTTAAATGATTCAAACCTTTCACATTTTAGAATATATTAAGTAGAATATACCTGCAAAACATCAAGTTAATCGAATATCGTTTATCCATTCATCCACTCATATTTCTATTTATTTTAATACTTTAAATCACAATTATTTTTCATACAAATGTGAGTAAATGAAAAGGTAAACGATATCTGATTAACTTGATGTTTTGCAAATATGTTCTACTTGACATATTTTAAAATGTGAACTGTTCGGATTATCGAAATGAGCTCATTTAACTGCACAACAATGGCAATTATGCACCCGTACAGCAGCAACTCCAAATCTACCAAACATAGCGTAAAGTTATATATAAAAATAGGAAAATTCTACCATACACAACTGTTAAAAAGGATGTATTATATGCACCATTAGTTATGTTTGTTTTTTTTCGGTGGTTCTACATGCATCAATTAATGTACACACTATTATACCAACTAGTGTTATGTTATTATTACTGATTTCACATATTATACAAATTATAAATATTCAAAACCTCTAAAATTATCTCAGATGATCTGTTAATATACTAATTAGTACATTAATTAATACATATAGTCTTATTTTTTTTTTTTAATTATAACTCTGACATGTTCAATTACGTCTTATCTAGCGTTCAAAGTTTTTTTTAATTATCACTCACAAAATATAAATATTTTTAATTTTATTATTATAAAGTATATAGGATACACATCATAGTCTTTCCGACAAAATTGTGCATATCCTGCCATTAATGTACGTGGTGTGTGGGTAACGTATACAGGTTTCAGTGCCTACTCCATCCATACCTCATCGTCTCCATTTCGCCTCCTCTCCTCTGAAGACCCCATAATCGAACGAACGAACGACTGTGATATGAAGGCATGCAATGTAATCTTCTCTTCTCTGCGTTCCTCTCTCTCCTCCCTAGTTATTTCTTCTTTTTTTTAATTTTTTGTCTCATCCCAACTTCTAATTAATTTAGTTGCAGACAATCAAATTCATGCTCAATCCCAGCATCACCACTCTGTTCGTCCTAACTTTTCTCTCAGGTTTCTCTTCGTCTTTCAAGGTACTCCTCGATTACTCTACTACTCTCATCATCAACATCAAATTTCAAATTCCAGAGCAAAAAATTACATTGAAACATTTCCAAATTGAATGAGGTACACACTGCTTTTCAAAAGGTGTAGCATATGGATCTTGTACCTAAAGAAGAAAATTGTATAATTTCATACTTTTTAAATTATAATTATAAAAAAAATATCAAAACAAAATATAGTATAAGATATAACTAAAAATATAATGAATAATAATTAAAATAATATTATAAAGGAGGTGTATAGTATTAGAATTTCCCAAGTTAATAAGGTCTCGCTCGACAATTTTCAGTTTTAGTCCAAAAAAATAAAAATAAAAAATCATTATAAGTTGCAATATTATTCTCTTTATTTTCTTTTCTGTATATCATTTTGTAAAAAATAAAAAAATTGTTAAAATAGTTTGTTTCAAACGAGGCTTTAGTTACTGTATTATTAACAGGAGGAAGGACAGACATGCGTGGCCGACCGAAACTGCAACGCTGGGCTACATTGCGAAATGTGCCTGGCTAGTGGAATGAAACGGCCTCGATGTACTCGAATTCGACCAGTGATTCCCACTTCCAAGGTCTCTCTCACTCTCTCTCCATGGCTTGTATCATCTACTATTGTAATTGTGTGTATGGTAGGAAATTTGATTTGTGTAGATTGGATTAGGTGAAGGGGTTGCCATTTAATCGGTATTCGTGGCTAACCACGCACAATGCGTTCGCTCGATTGGGAGAGAGGTCGGATACGGGGTCTCTGATTTTGTCTCCAACTAACCAGCAGGACTCCATTACCGATCAGCTCCATGTAACTCTCTCTCTCTCTCTCTTCCCCACACAGTTGCCTGTTTGTTTGGCTTTGACGATATTTTTTGTTCTCGTGCTTGTTTTCTTTTCTAGAATGCGTGAGAGGGCTGTGGTTCGATGGTGGAGGTTGTGGAATTATTATTATTATTATTATTTTAATATTTTATGAATTTATTTTTAATTGGACAAATTATACCGATGATTCCTATATTTTATCTCTTTTGTCATTTTAGTTCATACACTTTCAATTAACTCAATTTTGATTTTTAATTTTAAATTTTGTGTCGATTTGGTCTACTAAATTGGATGAGATTAACTCATTAAATTGAGTAAATTTATAATTTTATTTTTAAAAATATGACACATGACATTCATACGCATATTTTTTTATAAAGAAATGCTAATATTTATAATTAATTGAATCAAATTGAGACAAAATTAAAATTTATAGTCAAAATTGAGTCAATTGAAATTATAATGACTAAAATAATACAATGATGAAAATATAGGAACTACCATCATAATTTGTCCTTTTTAATTTGTTAAGAAAAATGAAAGGGAAATGGAATTATGTGGAATTATTTATACATGTTCATTTTTGTTATTAACTAAATTTGACAAATATGTATTTGTTTTGTTGTTGTTTTTATAATCTACCCTCCCCCCATTTTATTTTGTACCTTTTTTTTTTCTTCACATATTCAAATCCAAATATATCATAGATAAAAGCTGCTTTTGACTTTGTGAAAATAATTATTACAATAGCACTAAAATGTAATCGGACAGATAGATAGGTCTTTCCTCATAGCCATACCAAGATGGATCGTGGTGTGCGGGCGGAGTGGCTGCACTCTAAAATTTTAAAAAATATCACATATTATATTAAAAGATTTTAAATAATTTATAATTATAAAAATTTGCAATTTAAACATACTTTTGCATCCCTATAATGATAATCTTAGATCTGTCTCTGCCCATATCACAGTGTATTATTATTGTAAGAGAAATTGATAGAGAAAGAAAGAGAATGAATTATGTATTATTGATTGATATTTATTGTATTGATATAAATTACAATGATTTATATAGGAGAGGATTTGGGAGTAGGTGAAGGTGGTAGTGGAGGTGGTAGGTGGAGTGGGTGGTAGTGGAGGTGGTAGTATTTACTTTTACAATTTACATTAACAATTATATCTAAGGAGAAGTTATTTAGTGATGTTAAGATATGATCGGATGGTATTATAAAAATATTGTAATTAGTGGAGGGAGAGGGCCGATGATTTGCTAATGGGTGATTGGGAAGAGATTTGGTATTTTGTAATTGGTGAGAGCATTGCCAGGTGATGCCCAAGGCGACCTAATTACTTTTCGAGAGTAAGAGATGAGATAGAGTTCATTGTAAAACCAGATAAGAGGTTGATGTAATTCATCATTGTATTTAACATGCAATCGGAAAGGCTTTTCCCTACTTTTTTACCCCCATGGAATGGACCTAATAAAAATCTTATCATTCCTTTTTATTTAAGAGCAATAAATAGTAAGTACACATTTTTTTTTTCCTTAATACATGTGTCAACTAGAGAATAAATAGGATATTGGTTAGAAGAAAAAGGGTGGCTTTTTAACTTTTTCTCAATCCATTTATAACAACATACTAAAGAAAAATTTAATGTTTATTTTCTTAAGTTTTTTGAAATATTAGTTTTTCCTAGTGATTATGCATTCAATATTTTTTTTTAATTTTATTTTAAATATCTACTGTTTATATTAATTTGATTTTGAAATTTTAATTATATTGCATTGATTTAGACCCAGAAACAATACCTATACCTGCATAATTGTAGTAGGTAACACAATACAATTAGAATAAAAGAGTTTACAATTCAATCATGTTTCATATGGATTCATAGCTGCCAAAGATCATATGACCAGGATTTTTTCTTGGGTATCGTATCCAGGACAATTAGCATACTCCCACAATAGTGCTCTTGACTTCAATGTAAATATTATGAAGGCTTTAATCTTTTTAATGATTTCAATTAATTCCTTTTCATTTTAATGATGATCTTTACTGTAACTGTGAACAGATTGACCTGCTCTTAGTAGGATGCAATTTATAGTAGATTGGTTAATCTGATGCTTTAGTTTACAAACATTTCAAATGACTTTCTATTTTGAAAATGGTGCCCTCGCAGAATGGTGTTAGAGGTTTGATGCTCGATATGTACGACTTCCACAATGACATCTGGTTATGTCACTCCTTTGGTGGCATATGCTTCAACAACACAGCTTTTGTAAGTATGTTAGCACTTTCAGAAATTGCACGGGACTGACTTCATTCTATTTATAGTCTTTATATATAGAATTTAAAACAGGTTTATATTGGTCATTTCAGGATTTTACAAAATTATTTGTTTATTTATTTTCTATTTACCTTCTTTCATTTAAATAAGACAAGCACTCCTTCCCTACATTTTTGTTGAATATGTCCAGTCCAAAATTTTTAATGACCATGGAGCAGACAAAATCAACTGTGGCACCAAAACTTTCCTTTTAATATTGAATCTATTTTACAGAAACATTTCAATTTAGATGCCTGAAAATTAAAGGGGCAATTACATGCCAGTGTAACTTTACAGAAGTATTACATATACATGGAAAACTTTATGATTTTAATTATTAATATTTATAAAGTTTATCACTACTTTGTAATTATTTTTTGAAAATGCCACTGATTTGATATTTCCCCAAAATTGGGGCAATTACATGGTTGACTGGTTGTGTTCTTTATGTAACTAACAATCCAAAATCTAATCACCAGCAACCTGCCATTAAAGTTTTAAAAGAGATTTATGTGTTTCTGGAAGCAAACCCCTCGGAAATCATCACCATAATTATTGAAGATTACGTTTCATCTCCACATGGCCTAACCAAAGTGTTTGATGCTGCTGGCCTAAGGAAATTCTGGTTTCCAGTATCTCGAATGCCAAAAAATGGTGAAAATTGGCCGACAGTTGATGATATGGTGAGACACAATCAGCGTTTAGTGGTTTTTACTTCGAAACAGTCTAAGGAGGCTTCTGAAGGGATTGCGTATGAATGGAAATACCTAGTGGAAAACCAATGTGAGTTTTACATATGTTCCTCCTCAAATTTGACTGCATAATAATGAAAAAAGTTGAATGTGACTGAGGCATTTTTTAATGTTGTTTGAAATGGCAGATGGTAATGGCGGGATGAGAGAGGGTTCCTGTCCAAACCGTGCAGAATCATCTCCCATGAGCATGAAAACAAGGTCTCTAGTCCTAATGAACTACTTCCCCGACACTCCAGATGTAACCCAAGCTTGCAAGCATAACTCAGCTCCATTAATTAGCATGATGAACACTTGTTATGAAGCGGCTGGTAAACGATGGCCCAACTTTATTGCTGTTGACTTTTACAAGGTATAGATAGTTTTCAAAATCATTTTCAACCTAGCATGGTAGCTTTGAAAAAGTGCTTTTAAATTTGAGTGGAAATAATTGATTTCGAGTAAATGTCACAGAGAAGTGATGGAGGGGGAGCACCTGAAGCTGTTGATATTGCCAACGGGCATCTAGTTTGTGGGCGTGAGGGTATCGCCCTTTGCAAGGTTTGCAATAACTACCGACTTTCAATTGCATTTCGCTGTTTTTGATTTTTTTTTTTTTGGTTATAAACTACACAAATAATCCCTAAAGTATACTTACTTATTTCATTTTGGTCCTTAATCTTTAATTTATTTCAATTACATCCGTTAACTTCAGACCAAAATGTTGAGATCATGCTTACATTGGCCTTATATTAAGCATGCAAAAGACATTGGGAGGAATTTATTTCATTTATCCCCTAAATGAATAGCAAAGCCTTATTTTCTCTGTTAAATTTTTTAAAAAAGGGCAAATTACATATACTTCCCTTGAGATTTGGCTAAATTACAGATACCCCCTGAGGTTTCGGAAATTACATCCTGCCCTCTGAGGTTTGTATTTTCATAACAATTTGTCCCCTGAGGTTTAAATTTCATAACAAATTACCCCCTAATTTGTTATGCAAATATAACATTCATGGGGGAATTTGTAATTTTTCAAACCTCAGAGGGGGTATTTGTAATTTAGCCAAACCTCGAGAGGGTATATGTAATTTTCCCTTTAAAAAAATAGCAAGGCACATGAATTTGACATAAGCAAACAAAGTTAATTTTAAGAACTGATGTTAATTTTAATAACCAAAGGGAATTCAACATAGCATTTGAAAGACAATCGATCAACATTATCTGGCATAGATTGATCATTCAAAGCTTGATTTAAACATTATATCTATTTTATTACTCAAAGTTTGTAATCAGTCAGAAAATACAATCATAGAGAAGGGATAATCATAAATGAAACACGCTATTTTATTACTCAGATTCAATATGTCAATGTAATACCATAAGGTGCTTCTTATATAGCTAGGGAAGCATCTTAGGACTAACCTTGGCTTGTACACAGTCACATAAGTTTGTCTAGTAACCAATATTAGAATACAAGACACATTTATTCAATATTATTATTCACTCACATATGCAAGATGCGTTGTCACTATCACTCATACAATTACATGACAAGTCGTCTATCCTACGTGTATGGTGTGTCTATCCTGTGTGTACTATAAATGTACTATCATCTTGTGTAATAATGCGAAGTAACATGTGAGGTGTGAGTGTTTGTATTGTATATCTTTTATGTTGTACTACTTGTCATTTAATCAAATGAGTGAGAGTGACAGTACAGGTTGCGCATGTAAGTGAATAATATTATTGAATAAAGGTGTCTTGTATTCTAGTGTCAGTTGTTAAACAACCCCATGTGACTAGTGTAGGTTGGTCCTAAGATGTTTCTCCGATTTAAGGAGCTCCTTATGGTATTTGAGCATTTTTCATTTAAAGTTAATGGTACTTATAGGAAGACCACATTGACTCAATGAATTGATACAAATTAAAGATTATGGAGGAAATGAAATAAATAGTATACTTTAGGGACTATTTGTGTAATTCACCCTTAAATTTGTTTGTTTTGGATTAAAATATTGGAGTTAGGTCTTGAAAATCATTAGCAAATTTTTTTTTGCATGGCCTTGTACAATCATTTAGGTCATGAAATGAAAACTGTTTTCAATGATTTCTTTCAAGACAAGAATTAAGAAAGATTATCTATTTGATAATTATTATGTGCAGGAAAATGTGTCTTTTGGGAGCATGTGACCTACCTTGGGACAGTTTTTTGATGGTTATCACAACATGAATCTTGTAACTCTACATAAAGTTTCTTAGTGAGAAACACACAAGAAAAATGAGATATAGAGTTTGCAACTTATTTGGGATATATAGTTTGTAATTGGTGCCATGTGATTACAACAACAAATAAACAGTATTATTAATGTTTGGGCTGATCTCTCTTTCTGTTTTTTGGAACGAGATGATAGGTATAAAAAAAGAGGTTCTTTCTAAACAACAGATAACCCATTTGGAATGGTTGGTTACAGGCACTAAAGCTAGGTAACCATAAATTTATCCAGAAAAGTGTTATCTAATCACTATCTTTGTGGGGATTACAACTAAGAAACGTCTCAACCACACAATGATGTTTTAAAAATTTATGGGCTTGTTAAGTTGTTTCTCTTATACAAACCAAATTACAATTGTTTGATTTCGAAGAAGCATCACACTTTATACATATGAGAGAAACGTCACACTTTAGAAATGGAGATTGTTAAGCACCAGCATAAAGTTAAAAGGTTAAAAATAATGACTAATAGTCCGTTTAGATTTGGCAGTTCATTCATATCACATGGTTTGATTAGTAAAGAGGACAGAAATAAGGTAAAATAGAGAGAAATTCATTTCTTATGCTGTGTTTGGTTGGGGGATTTGGGGAGGGATTTGGAAAGGGAAATGTAAGTGAAATGTGAATAAAATATTCCTATATTTCACCTAGTTTCACACACCTTTTCCCTTTCCCTTTCCAAATCTCTCCCTAAATCCCCCAACCAAACACAATATTAGAGAGCTACTAATAATCCACCACCGCTTGCCGCCACCCACCCCGTCCTCTCTCCCCCGACACATCCCTTGGCCCCTTTGTTATTGACAACCCCACCATAAACAATATATTAAAAGAATAATAAAAAAAATATAGAAAACTCATAGTTCAAACGTATATATGACAATTGTAAATAAATTATATACTAGACAATTAGTGTTCAAGAGATGTTCGGGTGGTGTAGGTGGTCATCATTTCCATACGATTTGAAAAAAATAGAGTTGAAACTCCGTTCGGTTCTAGTTCACCGAAAAAATTAAAATTGTTCAACTTTGGTTGCCAAATATTTTAAGGTTCTTTGAACTAAATGACCGAACAAATCAAATTTGTTCGACTTCGATTATCCAAACAAAATTCGAATGCAAAAAAAATAAAGTACTAAAAAGGTTGCTGAGGTGGGAGATGGTTGTTAAGTAATAATGGAGTTACGAAAGGGAGGCTAGGAAGGGACTGGGGTAGGGAGAGGGTTGGGGAGGGCTACCAGAGGTAGTACTGTGGCGGCCAAAGATGGGGTGGCAGGGGAATAGATTTGCTGAAGGAAAGGTTGTGGTAGGGTTAGGGATTCCAAAGAAAAAAAATATTTTGGGAATTATTGTGGGGTCCAAAGAAAAAAAATATGACCAATAATTGAGATCCCACAAATCTGAACCACTCATGATGTGGATCTCACACATATATGAGTGGACTCTACACATATATAGAGACCAGGATCACTTTGGGAGTGTGGGGTCAACCCCAAAGGGGTCCCAAACATTTTCCAAAAAATATTTTGGAAATTATGGTGGGGGTCTCAAAAAAAAAAAAGGGATGGGGAACAATTTGGGTGGTAAGGGTTCAAGAAAGTGGGGGATCCTAAGAAAAGAGGTGAAGGCAAATAGCAGCATTCTTCTTTTATAATCGTCATTTAATTATTATTTTTCATAATATCATGTCTATCCTATTGGAGATGCAATTATAAAAGGCTATTTTGATAATACAACATAAAATAATTTTTATTTTATTTATTTTTAATATAATTTTACCAAACAAGATACGGAAAAAAATTTATCTTTCTCATTTTTTTCTCTCAAATCCCCACACAAGTTCAAGAGTAGGAAGCCAGAAACTCTGAGAAGCCATGGTTATCAAACTGAGAAAGAGATTATTTATTTATGGACAAAAAGAAAGAGATCACTTCCTTCAATTTGCTGCCAATGAATTTTGACAAAAGATTAATGAACAATTGGTTTGGTCGAGCTAAGGATTACCACATCTTCCTAATCCCATGCTATTGCAACCGATACCTAATCCAACCTCCAACAAAATGACTGGCAAGATCCGTTTCAATAGATGTGAATTTAAAATCAAAAGATTTGATCTTAATCATTTAAGAATAAAAATTCAAATTTAAATTGAATTTCAAAATTGAGTTTAATAGTTTTATCAATAATTATATAAAACTAGTTATTTGAAATCATGCTAAAAAATCATTTCTGAATTATAAGAATTCCACTAAAATGCATATATCCTCTATATCTATTTATCTTCTTCTATTGCTTTATAGTTTGGGAAGTTAGTTTTGGTGGGTTAGGGACTAAAATAACCACAAAAAACAAAATAGGCTATTTTAACCACAAAAAACAAAACATCAAATCCAACCCATAATCATTACACTCATCTCTCACAAAAAAAGTCAAAAAAACCAAAAAAACCCTTCCCAAACCAGGCTTTTTAGCCCCAGGCTAAAAAAGCCAAAAAGCCAACCCACTTCTCAAACGGAGACTCATTTAACCTCAAATCCCTTGTTTGAAATTCACATCTATCCAAACAAATCCTATGAGTCAACTAAGCTCGACTCCTCCAAACCCCAAAATTTCCTCCTTTTGTTCCTCCCCACTTCCATTGACCAAAAAATGGGTAAATTACACTTGTCTCTCTTAAAATTTAGAGAAAATACAACTAACGTACACTTTTGATATAATTACACTGGTCTCTCATTTTTTAATATGATTAAAGAAACTGAAACTAATACAAATGGTGGATAGATGCTAAAATAAACAAAGAAAAAATATATATATTTTAGTTAAAAAAAATGACTATCATTTTTTCATTAATATAACTAATGAATTAATAATGAAAAAAGACTTAATTGTTATGTGAATTAAAACCACAAGGAAAGCCGCCCAATGTAATTATGGTTAACATGTGAGACTAACTGCATTTTATCCAAACCTCAGGAACGTGAATGCAATTTACTTATATATATATCGACAATGCTACATAGTTCAAATTTTGTGGCTCAAAAGTGACTCAAATGGCCAAAACGACGTCGTTTTGAGTACAGAACAACATAAAAATGGCCAAAACGACGTCGTTTTGGCCATTTGAACCACTTTTGAGCCACAAAATTTGAGCTACGAGACATTTTCCTATATATATATATTTCGTTTTGGCCATTTGAGCCACTTTTGAGCCATAAAATTTGAGCTACGAGACATTTTCCTATATATATATATATATGAGACAAAGGGATAGCCTAAGTGGTAATGACTTCCGTTGCCAGATGTCTCGTCACCCCCTCCCTTAAGATTAGATTACACACATCTTGTAAATACTATGATCTTCTATATATATATATATATATATATATATTCATCCAACCCCTATCCATTCTCTACTCAAATACCTAAAATTTCTCTGTGCCTATAATACATATAATTACATTTATGTACATGTGCACAAAGAAATAAATAAAGCTATGGAAAGCTTAATAATGTCATTATTTTCTTTCATGGTTTGACCTACAATGTAATAAAATCTCTTAAATCCCACAATCTTTAACTTACAACCATCATTTCCAACTTCATGAACTCATGCAATTCAAAAGCTAGTAAAACCCGGTTTTAGATGAGGTAATGGGATACATTACTTAATTTTTAGCAGACGCAATGAATGAGTTTAATGATCTGCGGGGCAAGAAGATAATGTTTTTAGGGTTTGAGAATAATGAGGTTTCCCTCTCAAGTACCCAAACCAGTCATTTTGCAAATGGGGCAAAGGTTCTTCTGTGCCAGCCACTGTTTAATGCAATTGGTGTGGAAGTCATGCCCGCAATCCAACGTCCCAATATCATCACCGGTAACATACGCCTCCTGCCACAACAAAGGTTCAAGGAAAACACAGTTTAAGCTAACCAATCGACCAAAGAAGCACGGGCAGAGCCAAGTAGAGCTGAGTGGATTCAATTGAACACACTTAACGTTCAATTTTTTATTTTTAAAAAAAATCACATAGTATTGGGGTTTTAAATATCAACCGATACCATCCGATATTGACTGGTGTATAATTGTATCGCTGATATCACTACATATCCCAATAATGTTATTTAAAACTATTTAAAACTTTGGAAAATTCCCCATAAATTGACACCACTAAAATTGTTTAAAAAAATTAAACAAGACGCCATTATTTTTATGCATGGGATTCTTTGGTGTTTACAAGACTTTCTTTGTCTCTTCCATGTGTTCTTTGTCTCTTCTCTCATTCTCTGTTCCAGCGACTGAAAATCACGGAGTATTGCTCTCACTATAAAGTTGCTAAATTTTGTTATACATGTAATTCGACAAGTTTGAATTACTTGCGAATACATGATATCACAATATATTATGTGAAAGTTTACTATGATAAGTTTTTTGAACTAAAAATATGACAAAATGACATTGATGATGACTAACTGAATGACACAATTGAAAGAAATTTCCGGCTGTCACTGCATATAACACCCATATTTTTTTCCCTCACTCAATCTCTCAAAACCTATAGAGAATAGAGATGCTGGCTCTTACCTGACATATACAGCATGGCTCCATGTTTGATGGGGTTCTTTCCAACAAGGAAAGATATTTTCGCTGTTGCATAGACTTCATAATGGTTTCCTCACTCAATCCTGTGTTCACGTTTCCTATGCGCTCTTCCAATGCCAACAATTCCTGATATTCAGATCATGGTATAAGGGAACAACCTTCCATGGAAATCAGATGACAGGAAAACAAATATAAACAAAAAGGAAGACCTTTCTTACCTCGTAAGACATGTTATCGACATCGAGTCTCATATCTCTATGCCTGTCATTCAACTCTACAACCCCGTTTATAAACGGATCAAAGAGCATATAATCCTGATAAGTCCATTACATGCAGGCCAAAATGTCAGAAATAAAACGAGTTGATTCATGACCAATACATTGTTTCACAAGTCAAACAACCTGTCTGCCCCAGAGAACGTTTAATTTAGACTTCCTTAAAGATATGAGTTTTTGAAATATAAACATTAGAAACAAAATAAAAAAAAGAAAAAAAAAAGAAAAAAAAAAGAAAAAAGAAAAAAGAAAAAGAAAAAGAAATGGAGAGAGTAGGAAAGCACGAAAGAAAGTGTAAGAAAACTTCTCCTCATTTGTTGCATTGGAGTTTCAGTCAGAAAACTTATGCTCAGTTGGAAACATCAATTAACAAGCTGACTTGGTCACTGCTCAAACTAGTTTCACGAATGTTTCCCCACCCACCCCCTTTTTCTTACCCGCATGTTAATTTTAAGGGAAACACTATAGGCACAAACTAGTATTTTTTTCAACACTTTTATCTTGAAAATAGACATTTGGAGGGATTGTTTATGAAAAAGCCACCGAAATACCCAGGAACAGGCACGAACACTTCGGAAGGGATCTACGTACTATGGTTTGAGAAAAAGTAACAGTGTCTACTTCTGCTGTATTATAAATATTTCCAAGAAAATAATGACAATTGCAACAGTCTTACTAAATTGTAATCAGAGCAGAAAGGAACCTAATACAGAGCATAAGCAGTTCTTTTTTTCTTTTTTTTGGATAAGTAGAAAACATAAACAATTATAATTAAGAAATTTAGAAGTACAAAAAGTTGTGCTCAAGTTTACGAAACTTTTGCCATCTCAAATGAGTTCCATTTAAAAATAGAACAGTGAGAAATAAATTATCTCTATATCAAACAAAGTCAACCATACTCTTGTGTCAATTGACAAGACCAAATGGTTTCAGACATTAAGTTAGCAACTCAACATATAAAAATTAATGAATTATCGTATACGAGTAAAAATCAAACCTCAGCTCGTAGGTTCTCGCCCCTACGCATAGCATTCAAGACTTGACGAATCTGTCACATAGAAAGAAAAAGAGTTATTAGTTCAATGGTGCAAAAAAAGTTGTTAGTTCAATGGTGCAGCTACTCTTAATCAGAAACTAGTCAATTTTGATAGCAACAGAATATATGTTTACTAGCAAGATAGAAAATACAAAAAGTCACAAATTATACAGTTAGGAACACGCAAAAGGAAGCCAGATGATAACAATCATATATAAACAGTAAAACAAATCCATATAACTTTCACAATCTGGAATTTATGACAAAGAAAATTGCTAAATTCACAGACACTATGATTTTATCCATGGGCCCTTCTCACACAATATGGGGACCCCCATGTAAGAGGGAAGGCTTTAGATACAACCTTTTAGGGTTTGTGGATTTAGCAATATTCTGTGATAAATTAATAGATTGAATTCCATGAAAAGCTTATGTCCCTATGTACATCTTATTAGCAGCCCAAATCCATATTATTAACAAAATAAATAAATAAAGGAAAGGACAAAATTGACATTATAATTTGGCTCCCATGTGTAGATAAACTCTTTTGTAGCATTGGGTTCAATGAAACAACTTTGAAAAAGTAGTAGGTACCTAGCAACACATCACCACCACCAAAAGTAGATATATATGAAATTCTAAATGTAAACATCAATATCATTTCTGTTTTTTTTTTTTTTTTTTTAACAAACTTGTAAAAGCTTCAATAAAATTTAGGGCTAATCCATATTTAGCCCAAATAATGCTTGTTTATTGTATTAAATAAAAAAAATTAAAGAGTAGGATACTTGAGTATACTGATCAAAGTAGGCAATTTGGATGTGTGGGGCTGTGCATTTGTGTTACGTGTCCACATACGTGGACAACCACATACAAGCACACATACGTGAACTCTTAAAACCATTAATTGCATAAAAAAAATTTAGTGTGCTTTTTACTATCAATTTCACTGCTTCTTTATAAAATAATAATAAAAAAATAGATCTAAATAACTAGACCAACTACCATTGTATGCTCTAATGCATTGTTGTACTGACCTAACTAACAAGTTATATAAATAACAGATAAACAAGTAAAATAGAGGTTGAGTTCATCCATTCCATCAAATATAATTAGGGACAAATATTTTGCTGGTTAAAACATATAAATTGAACCTAAGAAGCACATACACTCAAATTTTAAAAAAATGTGAGACACGATACATCAGGGACACGTGCAAAGCATATAATTTTATATAACTATTATGGCCTTGTTTGGCAAAGGCTCTTCTTTTTTTCTTTTTTCTTTTTTTTTTCTTTTTTTTTTCCTCCTTTTGGGCTAAAATTCACAAAAAGACAAAATAAGCTAAAATAGCTAATACGACAAAATGTCACATTAAATCCATAATTATTTCACTTTTTCTCTCACAAACATCACATCCAACTACAAAAAAATCCAACCATCTTCCCACATACAAATATTTTAGCCTACTAAAATAGCCAAAAACTAAAATAGCCTATTAAAATAGCCAATTTTCCAAATGAGGCCTATATGTCATATTTTTAATATTATATATTTATTCTATGTCAAATATTTATTCTCATCAAATTCATTAACCTTGATATGCCATTCTACTGGAAAAAAAAAAAAGGGGGTTAAAAATGGGCCCCCAACGTGTTCGACTCCTTCTCGCATGTCTGACACATGTCCGGAGAGTGTCTCACACATGCCAGACACCGGTACGTAACCTTCAGAGAGGTGTCCATGTTTCATAGAATTGAACCATCAACGCAACACATTTGCACAAGGAAATGTTCCTCTAGTTTTTCTTTCACCTTTAAAAAACAAAAAAGAACAAAACAAAGCAAAAACAAAAATGAAACGAGAAGTAACAAATTTGAGCAGATAACGAGAGCCATATGAAAACAAAGTAAAAAATTCTTATCCCAAGCCTACCCTAGGAAATAATAATAGATCTCCAGCTAATGATAGTTCACTTAACCCAAAAGGAGGACCATCAAATGGTTCTGGACATTTTTTTTAAATCCATTCTATTGGAAGGTAAACATTGTTAAAACTGCTGCGAAAAGATTTTAGAACACAGTCCACATCACCAACCCATGTTGCTTTTCCTTCTCGAGAGACAAATCAACTGATGGAATTTATACATGCAACAATGCCACTCATGCATTTCGAGCTTGAAAATACTAGAAATTATGACATGCATTTCAAGCTCAACAAAGCAATGTTAGAAATGAGAGCATGATTTCTCAAATAGAAAAAGATGTTAAACTGAAGTAATTATGACATGGTATTGATCCATACCAAAATGTTGCAATCAGAAAGATGCAAGCTAGGCACACATATTTGGAATTCCAAAACTTAAGCAGTAACAGTATTCAACATATAGGTACAATGATACCGCATCCATTAATATAGCTTATATAAATAAAGTACAGAGAAGTAATCCTTGGATATCAGTGAAAAATAATAAAACAAGTAAACTAGATGCAAACCTCAGATACCAGCCTCTGTCTCCCATCAATATCAGCAGTTAAAGCATGCCAGCCATGCACATCATCACCAGGGACCTCCATCAATAATGCTGACCTTGGAAATGGTGGATGATTACCTTGGTTATTAGCTCCAGATGACATCATTCTTTCCTCTGATGAAGGGCCCGAACGCAATGGAGGAAATTGACCTCTCTGACCTCCAGACTCAGAGTCAGCAGAAGGAAACAGAGACCAAGGTGCAAATTCTGATAATCTTTGCTGATTTTGTGCTGGGGGGTTGTGATGAGGTATCCATGTAGTGGGGAAAGGACGTATAGAGGAACTGGGGTCAAATCGAGAACTAGAAGGGACACTTGCAGAAGTACTGATATTTCCAGTAGATAAATTCCAGTTATTTCGGTCTTGCAGCAAATTTCTCATCTCAGTTGCAGGAGCAAACATGGGATGCTCCATGCTATTTCTCGGGGTGCTTTCAAAGTTTGCTTCATCTCGCAATGATGCACCTGTGTCCCCCGGAAGCATTAGAGAGCTTGAAGAACCACCAGACCTTGAATTAAGAGCCCCATTCCAAGGGAAAGGAAGCATATTCACTGAGAAATCAGGAATATGCATCCAATGAGACTGGTTAGCGGGATTATTTGAACTGGGTGCTTCCGAAGTCGTTGGTCTCAAGTCAAAAGAACCAGTAAATGAGCGAGGTCTAGATGACTGGTTAGTGGAACACAAATCAGAATGCCTTACTGCATTCCCTGTTGATGGTAAATTAAACCGACCAGATTCATGAGGCCCCAAACTCACTCTGACACCATAATTTCTTGAGGAGCTTTCTGCATTTCCTGTCATACTTAAAGGAGGAAAGACATCAGAAGCAACACCATGCATTCCAATGCCAATTCTCGGGTTTAGCTGTTCAGGAGGACTAACACTAGTAGAGTTCATTGGTGGTGATGATATACTTAAGCTACTAGAAGCACTATAACAAGCAGGGACACCATGCTGTGCAAAATTTTCAGATTGTTGAAAGCAGTTTGAACTCCCACCTGGATAAGACTGTCCAGAAGTACCTTCAAGAGCCTTTCTCTTGCAGGATGAACCCCAACTGCCCAAAGAAGAAGCTGATCCACCATCATTGTCCACTAAATAACCAGAATTTCCATAAGAAGTCTCAACATTATCAGAAGAAGCATTAGCAGTTAAGATGTGTTCTGTGTCTGGTCCACTTAACTTGTAGAGATTATGGCATGCATCTGGTCCCAAACCCTGCACATTATCACCACTACTGCCCACATGTCCAGCATTTAAATTTATATTCAGAGGGATACGACTATAACTGGAACTCTGCGTAATTAAAGGTCTGCTGGTGCCCTGATTGCCACCAATACCACTGCTAACACTCTCACGAATAAGGATATTAGATGGCCCAACTCGCCTTTCTTCTACTGTTGCATCAGACCCAGGATGCGTACCAAACAGAGAAGACCGACCATTTTCTATCTTTAGACCATCATCAATGCCTTGGCTTTCTACATCTGCACTAGAGCTAGATTCTCCCATGTCCCAGCTACGAAAAGTCCGAACACTATGACCAACAGTATTTGCACAAGTAAAGTTCCCCTCAGCAGAAGAAAGCATGTAATTTGATGACCGGCTTTCTACTGGATTTAGCATGCTAGTCCAAGCAGTCGACTGATTCATACCAGTGTTGTTGGAAACAGATCGCTGATTAAGATCTACAGTTTCTGTAAAGGAACTGCCTCCACTCCTTTGCCCTTGCATTGGAGCTAATGGAATTCCCCAAAGATATGTTTACAGTGCAGAACAATACTTTAACACTTGATAATGCAGAACATCATTCGGGCAGATACAAATTCATAGAAACTCCAGAAGGAAAACATAATAGCTTAACCGGTAGCTGAAAAATGCAAAGTCATTCACAAATTCAATTAGACCATATGCTTTAGACATTTGTGCATATCATTAGAAGCAAAACTTGAAAATATGACAGTTGTATCTATGATAAATAAAGCCCTGTACTTCTTCAATTCCATTCACAGTCAGAGCCCAAGATGCAGACAAAGGCGAAGCAGCTTACCTTCCTTTCATTCCAATATGGCCTGTGACTTCATCTGAATCTGGATCTTCCGCAGAAATTGGGATCAGCCACTCATCTGGAGTATGTCACTAGGTTACAACAGAGTGCAAATGGTAGTGATTATTAGACAACCAGTAAATAAGAATGAGAGAGAGAGAGAGAGAAGCTCATTCCCGCAAGGTAATACACACCTATACAAATTTGTTATTCAACCAGAACACTAAAAAGGCTCCAATTTTTATCAACTTCAATGGCTGAAACAGAATTGAGTGGATTAATTATGCATTTACTGTCAACCAAAACATCTCAGCAACAACATATGAAACTTCAAAAGAAAGAACCACCTTTAGTGCCACAAGACAATAATTTTGGAACAAGAATGAAACAAAAGAGAGTGCAATTATGACTGGAAAAACAAAATGATAAGTACATGGACATTTGACAGCCCCTACTAGTACTTCTAATGGACATTGAACACCTTATCTGAGTTTAAAGTTACTGTTTTGAACTAGTAACCATAATCTTCCAACCCCAAATACAGTATGCTAAAATGGTGCTAATATAACCTGAGCAAGTAATTAAACACATCAACAGATTCATGGATAAAGACATGAGAGAGAAACAATAGCTTTACAAATCCATATCCTATATATGTTTTTCATGATCCTAAAACCTCCAGCCAGGTCCTCTTCCAAATGAAATCAGTTAACAAGCCTTAATCTGAATTCATGGATCATTCTTGTAACAACCCTCACCTAGTCTTAGTCATACTCGCATGTATTTGCATGATCTTTGTCTTGATTAAACTTGCATTTTGCAGACCTTGATTTGTTTTGCCTAAGTGCTGCTTGCATGCTTTGTTCCTTGCTTAGTATGTGTTAAGCCGAGGTCATCTTAAGCCTAGGTCACGCCTTTGAACCTCTGACACCTAAGACCATCTTGAAACCACTTTGGTTGACATCCACCTTCACCCTGGCATATTGGCCGAGATGTCATCATCTAGGGCGAGATGTGTATCATCTAGACATCCTAGATCTTTGACCCTTGCACCTAGTGATCTTGTTCCTGGACTGGTATGACCTAGACCGAGGTGTGGCACAGCTGGGCCAAGTGTTATCTTTCTTAGCCGAGATCATTGAGACCTTACTTGCCGAAGCTTATGTCTCGATCTGAGGTCATTGCCTTGTTAGAGTACCCATGTCACCTTACTTGTTGTACACACTTTGTCATGCTCTTGTCTTGTCATTCTGTCACCTTTTTGGAGGAAACCCAATCCGGTAGTGCCACGTGTCCCAGCATAGTTAAGTCAGCCGGCAGAGAGAGAAAACATATCATTTGCCATATCTTTGTCCTAGGAAGAGAGAGAAGCTCTAGGAAGAAAGGGAGAAGAGTTCTTAGAGTGAGAATAGATTTCCAAGCTTGATCTTCACACCTTGAGCTGTTAGATCCGTGTTTTGAGGTTAGAATCTTGATATGCTCTTGTTGTTCTCCATGTTCATCTAATCACATTGCATGATCTAGCATTATTCATGAGCCATGCATTGATTTAAATCTTGTTTTAGAAAGAGAAAATGATGTTCTTGTGTTCTTGAAATAAAACCATGTTTTGATCCGAAAGTTTGTATTAAGATCCATGTTTTTGTGTTTATTTTCATAAGATCTTCGAGTACGGGTACCCAGGTCCATGTTTTTGAACTCATCTCATGAAATCTCGACTTTTGAATAAAGAAATTATGATTTTAGCATTTATGTTCTTCATGTTCATGTTCATGTTCTTCATGCCCTTCAAGGAGGAAAACCCAGATTTTCCAGACTCCATTTTCTTGAATGTGGTCATCGAGACCACACCTCGGCCAAAAGGTGTGGGACCTCAGCCAAGACCTGGTTGGTACCCAGCATGTTTTCCCGAAATGAGAAACAGTGTTTTAACTCCCAGTACGTGTTTTGCTTTGTCTTGACTTAGTTTTGAAAGAAATGCCGAGATCATTTACACTCTTGCAAAGCTTGTTTTAGGAATGCATTTCATATCCATCTTTGAGCATCTCTTCTTGTCTTCTTGAAATGCATTCAATGGGATTTATTATATATTTGTAGGCCTTGGATCCTTGCTTGTAATCCCCACACCCGAAGAGCTATGTGAGTGGTATTTTTAATAAAGATATGTTCTAATGTTTCGATAAAAACTTTGCTTATTTCATTTTGAAAAAAGTGTTTGTTCGAGTATGAATGATTATTCCTAGTTTTGTATCAAGCATTATCTTGTTTTGATGACATTCTTGGAAAGTCCTTAGTGCTAGGGGACTATAATACAACTAGTACCCTTGTTTGAGATATCTCCCTTGCCACCGACGGCCTTGTGCGGGTGGGTTTGTCTAATCGATTCCGGGTCGATTATTCCCTTGTTTTGTCAATAATGTCATCCCTTGTATTATGTAGATGCTAGTAAGCATCCCTTGAAGCTTTGAAAGACTTGATAGATGAACTTGGTTCGTCTCTTGATTTGTACAAGCTATGATGTGCATTGTTTTGATAAAGGTCTCAGATATCATTCATTTAAACCTTTATTTCTAATATCATTCACTGAGTATCCAAACTCACCTTCTCCTCATATATATGTAGGTGACGAGCAAGTAGGCGGTGACGCCTAGATGTGTTTGCAAGATGTTTTTGGATTCATATTTTGTAGCATCTTGAAAATTATGCTTCTTGCCTTGGTAGTTTATTTCTTTTGTATATGTCGGCTTGAGAGGCCTTTTGATCAAAATATAACATGTACTTTATTTTATTTGTATCCAAGTTGTAAAACCATGTTAAGATGTATGTCATTTCATTTAATTTATGCACAGCTCTTATGGGCTAATTAGATTTAAATATATTGCTTCTGCACATGTAAGCCTTATATGTATACTCTGATTGTGTGTGAATCTTTATAAGTTGGCCTTTAGTAATCTCGGATTACTGGCCATCACGGCACCATTTTACTAGGGGCGGAATGGGGTCGTGACAATAGCTTTTGTTGTTGATCAAAAAAAAAAAATCATATCCAATAACTTAATAAATATAATGAACACTGTTCAGTCTATCATATTTGGAACAGCAGTTATCCCAACCAAAAAAAAAAAACAATAATTTGAGTGATGAGGTTATTGGCTTAGACGTCGTATAGGGGCTGCAAACAAGCCAAGTCGAGCCAAGTAGTAGATTGTTTAAGCTTGGTTTGTTTACATAATGAGCCAATCTCGAACGAGCTTTTAGTGAGCCAAACACAATTCGAGCTCAACTAGCTTGGTTTTTTATAGTGCATATATATGTTCATCAAACCAAGTAGTAGGTTGCTCAAACTTAGTAGTAGGTTGTTCAAACTTGACTTGAGAACCAAACTAGTGCTAAAAGGTGTTCAAACTAGGCTTGCTTACATAACGAGTCGATCTCGAATGAGCTTTCAATTTAACGAGCCAAACATGAGTCGAGCTCAAGTAGCTTGGTTGGTTTTGCAGCCCTAGCTGAAGCTCAGATGCGCTCTTAACTTACAATATAAATAGATTCAAGAATGAGCCAGGTAATTGTTATTTTTTTTATTACAAAAAAAAAAAAAAGCAATCCAATTGTTAATTCAGTTTTGTTGGGGTTTCTAGACACTAGTGTGTTTTAATTTGATCTTCTCTTTTTGTGATTTCCCTTGTCCCATATTGGAGGGGAAAAAATGAGAATCAGCTCATCCAAAGGGGATTTGCACTCAAGGAGAAGCATTTTGCTTGGACACCAGAATGGGAACTTCAGTGTGCCATTCACATAGCTTCCCTAGAATTAAGCACACATGCAAATCCACACCTTACTCTGCCACACTTGCCCAATTAGATTGTGGCATCCATATACAGTCTCATCTTAGTAAGATGTCACTAGATTAAGAAGGGTCAATAATCATCAATATCTTAATTATTCAAAACACATAAATTCCCAATTTTCATTTTAACCAGCTGATGTTACAGAAGTAATTGCCACTATTTGTCATCATTTTGAGTATACTGGTTTAAGCATATGCTAAAGGATTTATTACTCTTTGTACATATTTCCACATTCTCTCCCAAGCACAAAAACTGTTCTCCTATTTGCATATTCTAGAGAAGCATGCCCCCACTGCATTGCTGAATGTGAACCTATGTTACCTGAAAAGTGGATCGTTCCGATACGTGGAACGGGAATGGGAACGGGAACGGAAAGATGGTACACCACATACTCTAAAATGTGGTACGTTGGGGTAGACTTGTATATATTACACTTAAGAATTTAAGATACTTTTAAGGTAATTTTCTTTTAACTATTAGACATAATAAAATGTAAAAAAAATTTCACGTAGCAACACATTTCTATGAGCATTATGACCCATTTTTGAACTCTTGTGTTGTCAAAACTTAATTTCAACTTAGATTTTAGTTCATTATATTTGATTTTTTTCCTCCTAAGAAAACATTTAAGGAAATACATTTAAAGAAACTTTTGGGATCGAACCACAAAATTTATAATTTTGGAACAAAAGTGTACCATGTTTCGGAACATGCGTACCAATAAGTAATTCGCTAGAATATTAGTATTTTCTAGTAACATGGATGTGAACACATTTGCCATAAAAATTCAGAAAATTAAAGGTCCCTTGCCACAGTGCACAGCTAACTCACTAATAACTTCTTAAAACTTCAATGTTTTTAGTAATTTTCCTCTCTCTGCACTCTTCTGAACCATCATTTTCTAACTAAAACAAAACTGGTTCCAAACAACTGCAAAATCAATACAGATAAATTGCGCTCCCTGCAATGAGGTTACAGTACAAGAAGCTAGCAATTACCCTTAGCTTTCCCTTACTAATTGATATACATACAGTTATTATAGTAGAATCCTTGCTGGAATAATGAAAAAGTAAAAAAATTGTCATCAAATTAAACCTTGAATGAATAATTCATTTCAAATTAAGTAGGAAAATTTTAAGGAAAACCAAAGGTAAAGGTTTGAAAAAACAAACAAAATAAACTAAAAGGACCAACATATTAACAGACGAAAAGTACCATCTGCAAGTTTTAGCATCAATGCATGACATTAAAAAATATATATATATATATATATATGCATAACATGAACAGTGTAAAAGAAAAAAAATAAACATCAATGCCCAAAACATCAAAGTACCATTTGCAGGTGGGGTTTCCAAAAGACGAATCAAAAGTAGAATCTTTCGACATCACCGATGAAAAAATGCACAAATTACAAACAAACCTTGTAGCAAAATCAACAAAAACAAAATTAAAAAGGGCAAAAAAATAAAAAATAAAAAACTACAGATCTCCATTTTTAGCACCAGGCAGAAAATTGTAAAATAATATCATGTGAAGAAAAAAAATATATATATATATATATGGAAAAAAAAAAAAAAAAAGAACAGATTGAAGAGAATGAATCGAACCTGAGTGAGTGAGAAAACAGAGGAGAAGGATCGATGAATCCAGCACCGATTGTTTCAGGTGGAAATTTCAGAGAGTAGGTGGTGGAGAGTAAGAAGCGTTTCTGGGCTCTTGATATTGGACCGTTTCGTTTTGTTGTGGGGACATGATCTATACACGACACTGATGAGCAAATGGAGGAAAGATGATGATTTGTGGGGACATGATCTATACACGACACTGATGAGCAAATGGAGGAAAGATGATGATGCTGTTGGTGTTGTGGATGTAGAGAGAGAGAGAGAGAGAGAGAGAGAGAGTGGGGGTGTCTCGGTCTAAGCCTTCTTTGAGAGCAGATTTTTTTAATAATTTTTTAATTTTTTAATTAAAATATAATATAAAAAAATTAGTATATTCAAGATAATTTTTTAATTTTTTATGAAAAGATGTACAAAAAATAAAGAGAAAAATAAATCTTTAATTTTTTGATATAAATTATTAGTTTTTTTATTTTTTTAATAATTTTTTGACTTTTTCCTAATCTAGTCACTTGTCAAACGAGGTATATGGATTGGATTAGGCAGGTATATTTAATTTAATTTAAATAGAGGGTGTTTATGTGTTTTGAAGATTTCGTTTATTAATTATATATTTGAGGGGTGGTTTGAAATGTTTTAAATAAATGTATTTTTAAATTTTTATAAAATGATGTGTAAAAAAATAGAGAAAAAATGTTAATTGATGTGATTCAAAAAAAGATAAAAAGATGAACTAAAATAGTGTATGCCAAATCACCCCTCAGTCAAAAAATAAAAAAAAATTATTATAAATTATCACATTATTTTCTTTATTTGTTTACGCGTATATCCGTGTCTGAAGGTACAGCGTAAATAATGTTTTAGTATTAGAATATAATTGTAATCCTAACACTATTTAAATTTATTTTTTAATTCGATAAAATCACAAATTTATTATAAAATTTTGGAGTTCTCACAAAATTCCTCACGAAAACTCGCTTTTGCCTATATAATATATAGCTAGATAGATAGATGTGCCTAACATACATATAATTTTCACGGGCATACATATAATATTGTTTTTGCTTATATAATTTGTGGAGATGTATTTTCTGAAATACCAACACGTGGCAAGGTGACGCCGACGTGTCAGCCGAGGTTCCACGTGTCCAGATTGCGACGCCGAGGTTATCTCGGCAAGGCCGAGGTTATCTCCGAAGATATCGGAATCCGAGATAAATAGATAAAAGATAAGGGACATGAGTCCTAGAGTAAATAGAAGACTTTGCTAAGATAAGGATAAAGCTCTTAGGGAGTTTATCTTTATCTCTTGAAGAGTCCAAAGTCAGCACTGAATTGGAGTCCATAGAAGTCAGGCTTCTAGTGGGACTTGGATTAAGTAAACTATAAAAGAGAGGCACCCCCATGGGTCTAAGGTACGCAGTTTTATGCTTAAGCTTGTGAGTTTAGCACTTGATTATCTTTGAGAGATATACTGACTTGATCGTCGGAGTGCCCCGGTATGAGTTTAGCACTTGATTATCTTTGAGAGATATACTGACTTGATCGTCGGAGTGCCCCCGGGTGGAAGAGCCACCGCCGAAGCCTTTTCTTTCTGTTACAGGTTTGCTGAAGCCATCTATTCTGCCGGTGCTCTCCAGCTGATTACTAGGCGGACAGTGTGGTCAGAAAATTACCCACACAATTTGGCGCCGTCTGTGGGAATCTTAGAAGAATAGATGGCCAGTAACGGACAGAGGGATTCCGAGGTTATCTACACTCCTGCTGGGAGTGGCAGACCAATTGACCTTGACGTTGAAGGAGACAACCATAATGCAGAAACTCATGGCCAAGGCCACGGTGAAGAAGACATCGGCCAGGAGGGCAATACTTCGAAGAGAACAGACCAAGGCAAGTACTATCACGAAGACAACCTTTAGGTATGGAGGGATAGGTGCATTCGGAAGGATGAGGAAGTAAAAGACTTGGCAAACAAGTTGGCAGACCTTCAGTCGGTCGTCAACTTCATGATGCAAAATAATATCATGCAGCCACCATACCCATTGCAGGATACGTCGATACCAGCAACTAACACCTAAAAGGGAGGAAGAAGAGCAATCCCCGAAGCCCCTCTGCACACCAGGAGTGGACGGCACTCTCACCGACCTTCCAGGGAAGTCAGACGAGAAGAGCCAAGACGAGAAGAGTCCCGAAGGACGTATTAGACGAAGGACCCAGAACCCAAAGAACATCGGCATGTTCAAGGGCAAGCACTCTGCTTTGACACAACCTATGGGGAAAGATCGAAACAGACCCACCACGAGGCCGAAAGTAGTGTGCCAAAAAGATTGAAGTCCAGAGATAGCCGAGCTCTAGGTAGGAGTAAAGAAGACTTGAGGGATTACCTCAAAAGGAAGCAACAAAATGTTGAAGCTGAGGTAACTTCCCCAGTGAAGCCGAGGACACCATTCTCGGTAGAACTGGACAAATTTGAAGCGCCAAAGAGATTCAGTATGCCGAGGTTCCAAATTTACGATGGTAAGTCAAATCCCAACTTTCATGTTGGACTATACCTGAATTCAATGGCATTATATAGTGGGAACGAGCCATTGCTCTGCAAAGTATTCCGCTCATCCTTTGGGGAAATTGCATCCGATTGGTTCCATAAACTACCGAAGGGAAGCGTAAAAACGTGGGAAGGCCTGGTCGAGATGTTTGTGGCCAGGTTTGTGACGAACAAACTACATCCCTTGAGGGTCGACGCCCTAATGGCTTTAAGAATCACAAAGAAAGAAGGCCTTAGGGCCTACGCAAAGAGATACTACAAGGTATTCAATCGAATACCCGAATGCAACCAAGAAGTGGCGGTCGTGTCTTTCAAGAACGGCCTGAAAGATGACTGCCCACTACGGAAGTCTTTGGCAAAAACATTGCCAAAAAGCATAGAAGAACTCATGGCGAGAATCGAGAAGTACGCCAGAGCCGAGAAAGATACGTCGGGAAACAAAGAGATAAAGTACGAGAAGGGAAACGGCTCGCCGAAGCGAGGCCAAAGTAACAATGGGCCAACCAAACAAGGAACAGAATTGAAAGGTAAACAGGCAGTAACGACGGTGTTCCGAATCCCTATCCATAAAGTCCTGGATCAAATACAGAACCAACCCTATTTCAGGGCATCGGCAAGAGCACCAGGGGAATTTATGGAAAGAAACGTTGGTAGGCGCTGTGCTTACCACAATGAAGAAGGACATCCAACTCAGGGTTGCAGAGCCTTAAAAGCACACTTAGAAGACCTGGTAAGACAAGGCCACCTGAGGGACCTGGTCGATGAAGCCAGGACAAGGGAAGAACAGGCAAGATTGCCTCAAGCACCAGCAGCACCGCCACCCTCAGCACAGCAACCACAGGGAGGGGGACCTAGGGTGGTTAATGTAATTCACTCAAAAGTGAACGAAAGTGACATTCGGGGAGAAACCCAAAGAGTAAAACACCTGCAGCACGTGAACCAGGTCGGACATAAAAGACATCGGCCTGAAGAGTGCCGAGGACCGATCATAGCCTTCACTGAAGCTGACCTAGAGATGGTCCAACATCCGCATAATGATGCCTTAGTAGTATCCCTCCGGGTTGGAGAGTGCCAAGTGAAACGCATCCTAATAGATCAAGGCAGCTCTTGTGACATTACGTACGTTAGATGTTACAAGGAGCTAGGCCTTCACCCAAACGACATGGAGCAATCGAATGGCCCGATGGTCGGCTTCAATGGAACGCCGACATGGCCACTGGGCGCAACAAGCTTGGAAGTACAAGCTGGCACTAAGAAGATCAGGACAGAATTCATGGTGATTGACACACCTTCCACTACAAAAAAAAAAGTGTTTTTTGCGACGGCAAAACACCATCGCAAATGGTCCCGCGCGCCGTCTCTAATATTTTTTGCGACGGTAATTTGGCTTTTTGCGACGGCAGGTAGGGGTCGCGACAAAGGGGGTTGCAAAAGGGCTTTAGCGACGGTAAGTGCCGTCGCCATTGTTTTTTGCGACGGGAGTCTGCCTTTTTTGCGACGGCAATGTTCTGTCGCCAATAATGGAAGAAAATCTGCGTTTTTGCGACGGCACAGTATTTCCGTCGCTAAACAAGAATCAAGAAAAGTAAGAGGAACAATGTTACCATTCCGCACAATAATGCCAAGTTGAGTAGTTAACTTAGCCACGTTATCCCCTATTGGACAGTAATTTTCATCAAATTGTATGTCCATCTTTTTACCAGTACCCCACTCTTTAATGCCCTTGGCACATCCTCTACCACGTCTAGTCGAGGTTGATGAAGAACTAACATGACCTGCGATATACAATAATAATAAACAATATGCAATGGTAACAACCAAATGCAAATTTAAATAATGTGAATACAAATCATATCAAATAAACCTGAGGTGGGCTGTGAAGAAGTCGAAGGGTCTGCAAAATACAATGAGAATAAATAAGTTATATATAATGAGCATAAATAAATGTATGTTTATATAATTTTCATACAAATCAAAGAAAATTTATATACCTGCAAATGGCTCATAAGCTGATGATGATAGCTGCTGTGGTGCCATTGATGGTGGATGCACCAATGGTAGGCATGGAGGCTGAGTACATGGTAGCTGCTGTGGTGCCACTAAAGGCCCCTCCGATAGTGGCCGATGTGATGCCTCCTCTGATGGTGGTGCTACTGATGTCCTGTTATGTAGCACATCAGACATCATGCGCCGGGGATGATCATGCTTCCTATTTCTTCCCATAATAATCTGCAAGCAATATAACATTAATTGACATTAGAAACATAGACAATGGTTTGTCATCAACTATAATATGACATTAATTGAACTAATACAATTACAAAGACAAAGTAAATTAAGAAATTGATGATTAACTACAACCTTGGCCTTAATTGAATTACTAATGTTTCCACCACTATCAGCCTATTTGAATATCAACCGTTTCCCCTTCTGCGGCTTCCCTCACCCAACCAACTTCTTCATCACGAAGCATTATATTTTCTTCCAATTGTTGGCTCATGTATGGTTCGATTTGTGGATCAGTCGAACTCATATCAAATCAACCTCTTTGAGACATCTTCACCACGACTTGCCAGTCTGGTTGTAACGGCTCTGCAACATACCAAACTTGCTCTGCTTGGGACGC